TCTTAATAGGATTCAAAAAGAATTAGCCACGTACAGCTGACAAGGACATCTAGTTACGTTAGACAACAGACAGAAATGGGCGTGGTGTAAATTCTCACGCTTCAGAGCATACGCCAACCCTGAACTCAGGAGGGTTGAAAAGAAGCTGTACCCAGGGGCAGGCTGTTCACATAGGGGTTTGTTGCCTCCTCTGAGCAACTGGAATTAGCCCCGACCCAGGATACTGGTCAAAACAGACCCTGGATTTGACCTGCTTGGCAGTTTCTACGTTCTCACGTCATTTCAGGGTGTAATAGTGCTACATGTGTGGCTGACTGACCGCCTAGGTGTCCAAGCAGCTCAGTCCTGGAGAGCGGAAGCGCCCTGCGAGTGTGAGGACCTTGGGGATTGGTCTGGGTCTTTGTGGATGTGTGGAGGGCCCAGCGATCGTTCTCTCGCTTACCAGGACCGCTGAGGTCAGGAATCACGTGCTGTGTGTGACTCCCTGGGGAGGGAAGAGAGTCCGAGCTCTGCGGTGGTTTAATGGTGCAGCTGTTCCTTACGGATTTCAGTGGAGTTTCTCCGTTCTGTTTCCACTCCAGGGCTTTTCTGGTTTTAAAATGGACTTAAATGGAATTGTTCTACAAAAGAGCCCGAGCTCCTTAGAAACGCAGGGCTGTTTCTAGTCTGTGATGGGCTCACCACACCTCTGGCCATTCCCTGGGCCGCTGGCTTGACTCTTCCTTTTCCTCCCTCCGCCACCGAGTAGCAAGAGAGGGGCAAGGCCGCCTTTTCCTTCTGCAGAGAGGAACTGGTTTTAGTGCTCTTTCGGCCCAACACCCCGCAGTGGTTCTCCCTGGCCTCAGACCCTTTGCGTTATCCTCATTTCCTTTCCGGAGCGTAATGGGGCACCGTTTCCCCGCCAGGGCCTTTGCTGCTCTGGGGGTGCACTGTGTGTTGTCGTGACTGTGCTATGTGTGCCTTCTCTAACTCACTCGCCTTTCTCTTTCTTTCTGTCTCCCCCCTCTCTCTGTGCCTTTAGGTCCGAGCCGTAGTGGGTGCAATGAAAGCTCCATGCAGGCCTTACCATGGAAGGCTGTGACTCGCCTGTCATCCCTGGGAAGGACAATGGGTGTGGCATCCCTCAGCACCAGCAATGGACTGAACTCAAGAGCACCCACCTCCCTGACAAACCCAGTAGCATGGAGCAGTCCACAACCGAAAACCATGGGGCCCTAGACAGCCTGAGGGTCCCCTTTAATGAGCGCATTCCAGACAGCACCAACTCAGCTGGCCCCAACGCTGAGTCCACTAGCAAAGAGGTCAGCTGCAACGAATGCTTGGCCTCCTTCGCCAGTTTACAGACCTACATGGAGCACCATTGCCCCGGTGCCCGCCCACCTCTTCCCCTGAGGGAGGAAAGTGGGAGCGATACCAGTGAGGAGGGGGAGGAGGAGAGTGATGTGGAGAACCTGGCTGGAGAAATAGTCTACCAGCCAGATGGCTCAGCGTACATTGTTGAAAGCGTCAGCCAGTTGATCCAAAGTGGGGGAGCCTGTGGCAGTGGCAACGGGGCTCTCCCTTCGTTCGTTCTGAACTCTCTACCCAATGCTGGGGGCAAACCAGGAGAACCTTCCTCTGCTGCACCCGTGTACCCACAGATCATTAACACTTTCCACATAGCCTCATCCTTCGGGAAATGGTTTGAGAGCTCAGACCAGCCCTTCCCGAATACCTCAGCCCTGACGGGCATCAGCCCCGTCTTGCACAGCTTCCGCGTTTTTGATGTGCGGCACAAAAGCAACAAGGATTACCTGAACAGCGATGGTTCTGCCAAAAGCTCCTGTGTATCCAAAGATGTTCCCAACAATGTGGACCTGTCCACGTTTGATGGCTTTGTGCTCTATGGGAAGAGGAAGCCCATACTGATGTGTTTCTTGTGCAAGCTCTCCTTTGGGTATGTCCGCTCGTTTGTGACCCATGCAGTGCATGACCATCGAATGACTCTGAGTGAGGAGGAGCGGAAAATTCTTAGCAATAAGAACATCTCCGCTATCATCCAAGGGATAGGCAAAGACAAGGAACCCCTTGTAAGTTTTCTGGAACCAAAAACCAAAAACTTTCCACACCCTTTAGTTTCAGCAGCTAACCTCATAGGCCCTGGACACAGCTTTTATGGTAAATTCAGTGGCATTCGCATGGAGGGGGAAGAGGCTCTCCAGGCTGGCACTGCCAGTGGAGCAGAGCAGCCACAGTCAGGCCTCTTGGCGCCTGGTGCCCTCTTGAACCTTGGTGGGCTGACCAGCTCGGCTCTGAAAACCCCAATTACCTCAGTCCCCCTGGGCCCGCTGGCTTCCAGCCCTACCAAATCCTCTGAGGGGAAAGACTCCAGGGCAGCCGACAGTGAGAAGCAAGAAATGGGTGACCAGGACAGCCTCTCAGAAAAGGCAGAGCCAGCTGAGGAGATGGAGGAAGAGGAGGAGGAGGAAGATGTGGAGGAGGAGGAGGAGGAGGAGGAAGAAGAAGAGGAAGAGGAGGAGGAGGAGGAGGAAGATGATGATGAGGGTTGCAAAGGACTGTTTCCAAGCGAGTTGGAGGATGAATTGGAAGATAGGCCCCTTGAAGAGTCTGGGGCTGTGGCAGGTAGCAGCAGCAAAAAGGACCCTGCTCTCTCAAACCAAAGCATTTCTAACTCTCCCTTAATGCCTAACGTGCTCCAGACCCTGTCGAGGGGCACGGCTTCTTCGAGTTCTAATTCTGCTTCTTCCTTTGTCTTTGATGGTGCAAACAGGAGGAATCATTTAAGCTTTAACAATGAGGGTGGTGGAGCCAGCGTGGCAGAGGGCAGCAGGAGGTTGGACTTCATCGATGAAAGTGCCAGTAAAGACAATGCCACAGCACCAGAACCAAATGAGAGTGCAGAGGGCGAGGACGGGAGCTACCTCTCCCATCACCAGCACGCTGGTCCCCTCTGTGAGCTTGGGGGTGGGGAATGCCCCTCGGGGAGTGGCGTGGAGTGCCCAAAGTGTGACACCGTCTTGGGCTCCTCACGGTCACTGGGTGGCCACATGACCATGATGCACTCGCGCAACTCGTGCAAGACGCTCAAGTGTCCCAAGTGCAATTGGCACTACAAATACCAGCAGACGCTTGAGGCGCACATGAAGGAGAAGCACCCCGAGCCAGGTGGCTCGTGTGTGTACTGCAAGAGCGGGCAGCCGCACCCCCGCTTGGCACGGGGCGAGAGCTACACTTGTGGTTACAAGCCTTTTCGCTGTGAGGTCTGTAACTACTCCACTACTACCAAAGGCAACCTCAGTATTCATATGCAGTCCGACAAGCATCTCAACAACATGCAAAACCTGCAGAATGGAGGGGGGGAGCAAGTCTTCAGTCACATTGCCGGGGCAGCGGCAGGGGGTAACATTGGTAGCTGCTGTGGGGCCCCCTCCCCCACCAAACCAAAAACCAAACCCACCTGGCGGTGTGAGGTGTGTGACTATGAAACCAACGTCGCTAGGAACCTTCGCATCCACATGACCAGTGAGAAGCACATGCACAATATGATGCTGCTCCAGCAGAACATGACCCAAATCCAACATAACCGGCATTTGGGCCTTGGCAGCCTGCCCTCCCCAGCTGAGGCCGAGCTGTACCAGTACTACTTGGCACAAAACATGAACCTGCCCAACCTGAAGATGGACAGCACTTCCTCTGATGCTCAGTTCATGATGGGTGCCTACCAGCTGGATCCCACCAACCCTATGGCAACTATGGCTCCAACGCTAGGTGAGGTTGAAATGTCCTGTTTCTGCTGCTGTGTTTGGGGCGGGGTGGAGGGAGGGCTGTGTGGGTGGATGGGGTGCTATCCATCCCCATCTGTTTTTCCCACTCCTATTCTGAAATGTCTGTAGCCTTCCACGCAAGAGTATGCAGTGCAATGAGCCCCATTCTCACCCTAACTTTTCTCATCTTCAGAAAATCTTGGCACCCTCTTATGGGCCTGTGTGTTTCTTGTGAACTTCAGGACACCGTGTAGGGAGGGCTGTGTGGGTGGATGGGGTGCTATCCATCCCCATCTGTTTTTCCCACTCCTATTCTGAAATGTCTGTAGCCTTCCACGCAAGAGTATGCAGTGCAATGAGCCCCATTCTCACCCTAACTTTTCTCATCTTCAGAAAATCTTGGCACCCTCTTATGGGCCTGTGTGTTTCTTGTGAACTTCAGGACACCGTGTAGATG